AGTGTCGCTCAGGTGACACACAGGCTGATGGTCAGTCTCTGTGTCAGAGTGTCCCACAGTTTTTAATGTCCTTCTCCTTTAATGTTATGTCTGTATTTCAATGTTCCTTCTGTCTGTTTCTGCAGTGCAGTTTTGGGGTTCACTTGTTTCTTTTTGGAGGTTGAGCCTCCTCGTCTGGTCACCAATAGGCTTCCTCATAACCAAGCAGATAAAACCAAAACATTTTATAATCAAATGATCAAATATCTGCAAAGCACCTGATTCCTGGATGCTGTTGTTCCTTGTGAACTATGCAGTATGATCCCTGCTAGAGAATGTCTGAATAAGAATCTCTGCAGCTCTAAATTTCTATTAGAACTTGTGACTCTTCCCTAAAACATAGAAATGTGATCAAAAAGTGTTGAGATGACATATTATAGTCCTGAGACACATAGTCATTCTAATACAGAGACCATATTCATATTTAGGATGTTTTCAGATTGACAGTACTGGGAAATGGGAAGGAACATAAAAATGATCTGTCCTTCTGATCTGTTTCCCCCAGGTTTTACAAAAGAGATGGAGGCACAGATCTGCTGCCTCAGGCTGTGAGTAAAGACCTTCGAGCTGCTGTGTGCTTCTGGACTCATGAGTTTTTGAAATAAATCAGACCAGTGGGGGCGTCCAGGCTACAAACAGACACAAAACGGACAACTCGGTCGAAACAATGGCCGAGGACTCCCTCCTGTCCACCGGTCATGGAGTCTCTGAACATCAGATTTAACCCCCCTCTCGCCCTGCACAAGAGAGAGGCCCTGCGGAGCTTCCACTATGACAGCTGGACTGAACTCTTCCTGGTCTTAAAAGAATGGTTCTGGTAGAAGGATGGGATCCGTGGGGGCAAGTCGTTCACGGATTGCCCTTCGATCTTTATTTACCACGTGAGCGAAGCACTCGAGAGCGGGGTTCCCTCACAGGGAAGCACACTGCCCTGCCCCAAGCGGGGATCGAGATGTCCAGAAAGTCCACCGTGAGGGGTGACAGGTCAACTGTTGAGGTCAACAACACAGATATCCCACTGTCTCAAATGAAATTAGAGCTGCAACAATTGCCTAATTATGCAGTATCTAACATAATGCCTAGATAGGCCAATAAGAGAGATGTGGATTGATTGTATTTGTATGTTTATCTTGACTTGTATTACTATATACAAATTTCTGTCTTCAAAGAGGTTCTGTGATAGATGTGCACAAAGTGTGACTGATGTACAGTAAACTGCACTTTAGAGCAAATTATTCTGCTTGAGGAGCCAATTTAAAAGTGACCATTTTCCTTTTTTGTTTGAATCATTAAAAGTTTCAGTTTTGACTGAATTCTTCACTTCCATTTATAGAATTATAGAATTGTTGCTCCTCGTCTGAGTCATTTGAATCATTGTATTAAGAGTTTTGCACACAACACTTCTGTATATTTTTTTGTAAAAAGCTGCACAGGGATTACTATATTATTAGTCAACAGAGGGCAGCACTGAAAACTAAATTGAGAGTCTCGTCTCTGCTAGCAAACGCTGCTGCTCTGCTTACTGATGTGACTCTTGTCTCAGTGTAATTGCCATATTAATGACACTAGAGGGCAGCACTGAACACTGAATTGAGAGTCTCAGTCTTTCCCCCCAAAAAAACACTGCTCTGCTCCTCTTATGTGACACTTGTCTCAGTGTATGAGAACAGTGCTGCTCTTTCATTTCACCCTGCCTGTCCAACAGATTGTTTCATACTATCAATACAGCCTCTCCTAAGAATCCAGTCTGCCTGATATTGAGATACCTCACCTGTGAACCAATCTGAGATGCTTTGCTACCTCACACTTCTTTTTTGTACTTCAGAATCTTCACCAGTTTCACTCTGTTTCATCAGTTTCTGTATATAATGGACTGAAAGTATTGAAGTAAGAACATTTGAATCATTTGAATCTGCAGTGCAATAATTATACTTTAAGATTACAGTTGAGAGGGTATCTTTGAAACCAACCTTCAATAGGAGTGATATGCTGCCAAGGTCTGTCAAGATTATTATCTCTGGGTCAATATATGTGTTTTCTTGTAAGTAGAAAAGTGTTGGACAATACGGGGCTGTGCAGCTACACTACCCTTCTCTTGAGTTTCCCAGCCCTGGTTCTGAGCTGTAAAACAGACCAGCTCCACTGGGCTCTGATCCCTTCACACTCACAGGGACAGCCTGAATGTGGGTAGAGTCTGCAGAGGATTTCTGGGCTCTCAATGTGCTTCAGACATTCAGAGCTCAACTCAATATTGGTTTTCTTTACTGTTTTGTATTAACAGTATCACTCTGAGCACAATCTAACCTGGTTCATAATCTCTGCAGGTATTGTTTCACAACAAGAATAACATACTGTATGTTTGGAAAGCTGTGTCATTTCTACTTGTCACAGAAACGGCAACAAACACGCACCAGTATTGTTCACTGACACTGTGGACACCCACTCAAAGCACTTTACAGGTAATGGGGATCCCCTCCACCGCCACTATTGTGCAGCCCCACCTGGATGATGCAACAGCAGCCATAGTGCACCAGAACGCTCCCCACACAGCAGCTCTCAGTGGGGAGGACAGCAGAGTGATAAAGAGGGGGACTATTGCCATTGAGGCCTTTTGTAAGGGCCAGTGGGAAATTTGGC